AATTTTTGCTGACCATATATGGTAATCTTACCTTATAAGGAAGTACGTTAGAAAGTTTTATTCAAGTTTTTTCCACCTTTTAGTGGACCACTTTTTTCAATTACGTGTAAATCCGAGTCTGATGCGTGTACAATGGAATCTCTATAAAACGGACAACCCCTATAATACGGCAACAGTAAAATGTGAAAATTGCTGTGTTTGCTGACAATAGTCTCCTTCAAGGATACCTGCGCCATCTTGAAAGGTAGCCGTGACTTTGCACCGAAGCGAGACGACCGTTGAGCGTGCAATGATAGATACCTGTGAATAATTGTCTATAGGTGTGAAAGAAGGTTTCTATCATTGCACGCTCAACGTTTGTCTCGCTTCGATGACAAGACACGGCTACCTTTCAAGATGGCGCAGGTAACCGTGAAGGAGACTATTGTTACCAACCTCTACAAAACGACAAGCTTGGAAAGCGAGCAGTTTGGAGAGATCCAAGGGTGGCCTCTGTACTGCTTGTGACTTTTTATTTGAGAGAAGAGAACGTTAGCTAGCTTCTTTACGGTCTATAAAACACTCTTGTGTTTAAGTCATACATAATTTTGATTTTCACGCCATTTTGAGGAATGTATCTGGTAATGTTACAATGCTTTTGCGAATTTTCGTAACACCGATGAACAAAACATCAGCTTATCGATTGATGATTTGATTGATAGCATCAGAGGTTGATTAATTTACTGATTTATTGATAACAGAAGGACTAGAGAACTCTACGATTTTGTCTGGCAACTTTAAATACATCAGTAAGCTGAACAGCTACTTAGGGACTGCAGTGCCGAACTCTAAGACGAGTGATTGGATAAGATGCTGGCACGCTCTAGAGGATGGCTGGGATACGCGAWTGACATTCCACCCTCAGTGTGAYGGAAAGAAAGCCASTGTGACGATCATYMGTGTTGGTTCGTACGTGTTTGGTGGATTTACAGACAAGTCATGGCATTCTGGTAAAATAGTCAATATCATGAAACGAATGCGAACGCTAAAAGCATGAAATGCTTTACTAAATTTTGCTGAATTCTACTGTATTTTGCAAGTTTCTTTGTTTTCTACTGATCCGCATAAGGGTGAAGTCATTAGACCCGTGAAACAAAACTTTACCGTTAAAGTGTGATAGTCAAATAGACACAAAAGAAAACAATACAATTAGAGCGTACTAAGGTGTATTAGTGTAATATCTATTTCACGGGTTTTATGACTTMAATGTAATAAATTGCGCTATTTAGCACTATTTTGGTGGTACGTTTTCACGCTTTTAATGTTGGCATTCACTAGCTTAAAATTAAGTAATGTGATAATTAAGTCAATATTCTTCGTTTTCAAGTTACGTCACAGCGGCCATCTTGGAGCAACTTGAACAAAGGATTTCTCAGTAGTATCTATTGCTCATTCCTCCAACATGGTCGCCGGTCTTTTAACTTTTGAATCTCATGGGAATGGTTGAAAACTGTCAATACGGTCGTATGCATGAACGTCTTCTTTAGATGGTAGCTATGGATTGAATTCTGTTATTCTCTATCTGACTTTATTTTTACCTATCTTCAGCCTCTATGTACGTCGAGACAACGAAATCCTTTCTGTTTACCCTATACAACACCAATGGTTACCAACCCAACCAGTTAAACCTAACTGGTCTGAAAAACCAGTATGCTATGTATGGTGCGGCTGGTTATGGACCAACATTTGGAGTTGGGAATCATGATATCTATATATCAAATCTTGCATCAAGTAATACTGGATCGTACACAAGACCTTACTCATATCAAGCCCCTGATGGCTGCAGCTCTGCAAGCTCTTGTACGGTCATGGCCGGTACTTACAATTTCAAGCCAACGGACATAGAAGTGTTTTACCACGATGCAGAAACCAGTATGTACTCCGACTTCTTTTCAGATTTTCTTAGTCATTCTTCTATAATGTCAAATACGTAGACCACAAAACTGTCACCCTATCAGAACTGCCAATAACCCTGAGTAAAGCCGAACAACCCCCCAAGCAAGTCGCGCGAACGCGCTGGCCAGAATATAGGTTTTTAATTTAACTTTGGCTAGGAGCAATCAAAATATAGAAAATTGAGAGGTTAAAATTTAAGAGGGCTTATTCTCCGGGCCTAGTCTACGGCCCTGTGTTYGATCCCAAGACCGGACAATCACGTTATGTCGTGAGGGAAGACACTTTATTCCCAGTAATTTCTTTGGAGATTACATGCATCAGGAACAATGCGTCCGTCATCTTGAAAAGGTGGACTCGAATCATTAAATTATAACTCCTAAAGAAATTAAAAGCTTCTCAGCTAATGTCTAGTTAATATAATACGATATAATGATAGGTTATTTGACTTAGCAACTACGAAATGTGTTCTAATACAAAACATAGTGATTCGTGTCGCTCACTTTCCAAGATGGCGGACGAATGTCTCTCAACGCCTGATGCATGTAACGCTGAACTGTATTTTCCATCTTTACAGGAGGACTTACAAAATCGACTATTCTCAATGGAAGAGAGAACTACATCAACGCCTTGAACAGCTACTTAGCTACTGCAATACCGGCYGCTAACACGAGTAAGTGGACACGATGCTGGCACGCCGCAGAGGATGGATGGGATACGCGATTGACATTCCACCCTCAGTGTGATGGAAAGAAAGCCACAGTGACGATCATCCGTGTTGGTTCGTACGTGTTTGGTGGATTTACAGACAAGTCATGGCATTCTGGTAAGTAAAACGATATGCATAATTCCAAGAATAGTCTTTTTGACTATCACACTTTAATAGGCGGTTTATTGAATTACTACAAAGGTCGCTGCGCTCCTTGCCATTCCTTCACGTACCGTTCATGCACTCCGCGCTGCTGAAAACGCGAGAGAAGTGAGTGGGTACGAGTATGAAATAGTGAAGCTTTTTCATATATTCTAGTGAATGTGTCTTTGACCATTTTTTCCACTTGATCCTATGCATTTGTTTTGGAAATTTCAGCCTGATTGACAACATATGTTAGCATTTTGCATTTCTCAATAATTGTTTTTGTTTGTTTGTTTGTTTTTCGTTGAAGTCATATCTCACCATTATAAAGTTAGGGAACATTGCCCAGTCCTCCCACTCTATTTGAAATACCGCGTATATGACATCATAGAGAAAGAGGCCCATTAATTGTTCTATTAATTTTCTTCGTGTATAATATTTAGTCAGAATAATCGACGAGTTCTGCTTCAGTAGTCACACACAAAGAAATCAAGACGAGGCGCCGTGGATAAGGCTCAGTTATTCGTGAAAATACAATAGTTTTTCACGCTTGACTGAGCTTTATACACGATGTCTCGCCTCGATTCTTTTATGTTTGACTACTGAGGGGAAATTAGAAAATCGGTTATTCAACATTTTGAGTTGGAATTCCATTGTTTTTCAGGTTATATTTATGTCACTTCAAGCAAGTCTTTTTTGTTCTCCTTGTACAACACCAACGGTTACCAACCAATTATGTTCAACCTGACTGGACAGTACAACCATACAGCCATATTTGGTGATGATGCTTATGGACCAACATTTGGCTATCCACATGACATTTACATTGCCAATCTTGCACGTAGTTCAACAAACTCGTACACACTACCCGGATCTTATCAACCACCAGTTGGGTGCAGCTATAACAATCAATGTACTTTTATGGCCGGGACATACAATTTCAAACCAGATGATATTGAAGTATTCTATTATGCTTCTTAACAATGTTAATATAAAATGACACAAAAATCATCGTATTTTTTAGTAATTTTCGGCTAAAAATACGGGGATTTTGGCTTCTAGTTTCATAGATTCAGTTTATTTTCATGCACAATTATTACATTACTAGTATAACAGCCTACTCAGAAATTCTCACTGATTTTTCTATCATCGCGGCCGCCGGTGTAGATTTGTTTACTTTTTCGAAGTGAATGTCCCTCAATATAGGATTACAATTTTCTTTCGTTTTCCAGCWGCCAAGGAGTTATTGCATAGAGCAAAAGTGAACTTGATAGACGAGGATTTAATTGTGCYGCGAAGTGCTTGAAAGTTCGCCTGTTTTCAACAGTTTTTATTGAGATAGCATAGCATTTGAACGAGTTCACACTGATTCAAAATTTTCTTGTGTTTTTCAGTTTCTACATCTTAAAAATCATCTTCTTCTAGGTTTTTGCTCTTTTTTACCATTAAAGCTGAAAGAGGAGTCATTGAATCGAGCAATGTAGACTTAATGTTCAGGAAGATTTCATTCTTGCGAAGACACCAGTGTTACGAGGCGCTATGCTGAAATTTAAGATGACATTTAAAATATAGGAAATTTAATATTTAGCTTAACTTTAAACATTACAAGTGGATTAGTTACGAGACGTTATTCTGACATTTTGTAGGACTTCTAGGTAATAGCAAAGTAAACGTTACAAGTGGATTAGGGAAGGCCAAGGCTAGGTATGGGTGGTCGCGCTTGGAACGAAGATCGGCCAGGATCGGGAGTCGCCGTAGTTCACGCGCCCAACCATGCCCAGCCTGGCAAATAGTATAAATCACGAATAATGGTAAAATAGATGCTTTAAGAAAGTATTTGTAGATATAATTTATATTGGAGAGCTATATGTGGTACCATCAGCCAGGGGCACACCCCTCACGGGATGCCACAAAACCAGACAAAACCAACCATTCCCAGAAAGTTCTAATCCCAGGAAAAGGAAAGGATTGGCTGCAAATTGGTGTGGGGTAAATTTTAATACCCCAGGTAAAACCCAAACACTGTCTGATTGTAGCACATATAAGCCGAACAGATTTGTGAAAGAAGTTAGAAGAAGTTAGAACTGAGATCACAATAAAAGAACCAAAGAGCAAAGAAGTTATATTGAATCCACGGTTCCTAACANAAAAAAAAAAAAAAAACGGCGATTGATGAATTTTTTTCTCGAAAAAAAAAAGCCGAGAAAAAAAAGTCTTTTTTTTAGAAAAAAAAAAAAAAGAGACCGAAAGCAAATTTTTTTTCGAAAAAAAAAAAAACATCTCTGCGACTTTATTTTTTTTAAGCAAAAAAAAAATGAAAGTTTCTGAACCAGTTTTTTTTTAAAAAAAAAAAACAAGTTTTAATCGACATCTTTTTTTATTAAAAAAAAAAATCCACCAGTATATTTCCCTTTTTTTCAGCAAAAAAAAAATCAGTTCCAGCACAACTTTTTTTTTTGAAAAAAAAAAAAGCGCTTGTCAAGTCAACCTTTTTTTCCAGAAAAAAAAAAGTTCAAAGAAGCTGKATTTTTTTTTGCAAAAAAAAAAAAATTAGATATAAGTCCTAGTTTTTTTTCATAAAAAAAAAAAGAAGTATAGAAAAAAGATTTTTTTTATAAAAAAAAAAAGCGTCCATAAAAGTTGATTTTTTTTGACGAAAAAAAAAAGTAAACAGTTTCATTGATTTTTTTTTGTAAAAAAAAAAAACTTTCCTCTAATGTAGCTTTTTTTTATTAAAAAAAAAATCAGTGAATGAAAATTGATTTTTTTCTAAAAAAAAAAAATAATTTATTTATAATTATTTTTTTTAGCAAAAAAAAAAAATCGTAGTTTGATTGCAATTTTTTTACAGAAAAAAAAAAAGACAAAACCGTCATTAATTTTTTTAAAAAAAAAAAAAATAGACGCTATAAAATCTCTTTTTTTATATAAAAAAAAAATTTTATTCGCCCTACCAATTTTTTTAATGAAAAAAAAAATCACAATACTTTTGAAGCTTTTTTTAAATAAAAAAAAAACTTAACCAATTAAAAATATTTTTTTACAAAAAAAAAAAAAAATTGATTTTCGAAATTTTTTTTTGCTAAAAAAAAAAAATGAATTCTGTAATTACCTTTTTTTGTTTAAAAAAAAAATTTCAAGCATATTTCAATTTTTTTTCTTTAAAAAAAAAATATTATACAATATCCTTGTTTTTTTTTAAAAAAAAAAAAAATCTAACATATCAAAAATTTTTTTAAAAAAAAAAAAAAATGGCAAATGTTCAGGAGTTTTTTTCAGCAAAAAAAAAATATCTTGGCTCTTGACGATTTTTTTTATGAAAAAAAAAATGCGCTCTAAATAATTTATTTTTTTTTCTAAAAAAAAAAGGATTACTAAATTGGCCGTTTTTTTAATTAAAAAAAAAAAAGTCTTCTTTTCATATCTTTTTTTAAATAAAAAAAAAATTCTTGTATATTTGAGCGTTTTTTTGATGAAAAAAAAAACTTCTACCCAGGAAGATTTTTTTTTCTTCAAAAAAAAAACGAGCAGAAGTCTGTTCATTTTTTTGACAAAAAAAAAAATGTGTTTAGCTGTACTGATTTTTTTTGGTAAAAAAAAAAAAACTTTAGAAAATCACCTTTTTTTAGTGAAAAAAAAAAATGTGAACTACTGTCTTTTTTTTTTTACAAAAAAAAAAAAAATATCACTCAAGATAGTTTTTTTACTCAAAAAAAAAACAAGGTATGTTATTCTTATTTTTTTATAAAAAAAAAAAAGGAATAATGGTACTAACTTTTTTTTTATTAAAAAAAAAAAGAAACAGGTATGAGTTATTTTTTTAATCAAAAAAAAAAACATGGTCCAACAGCATTTTTTTTTGTCGAAAAAAAAAATTTCATATATGGAAAATGTTTTTTTTTCAAAAAAAAAAACGGCGTGATTCGCAATCCTTTTTTTTCCGAAAAAAAAAAGCTCGAATCTTAAAATATTTTTTTTGAGAAAAAAAAAAAATTCGTGACTAAGCTTTTTTTTTTTTTTCAAAAAAAAAATTTTTATTTTCAAAGTTTTTTTTTTTACCAAAAAAAAAATGCAAGACTACCGTGGCGTTTTTTTACAAAAAAAAAAAATTCACACACATATTCAATTTTTTTTCTCAAAAAAAAAAATTAACAATGATATATAATTTTTTTTAAAAAAAAAAAAAAATTTAGATAACAAGAAATTTTTTTTTGCTAAAAAAAAAAATCAAACCCGCGATCCTATTTTTTTCGCCAAAAAAAAAAGTGACTAAAATTTTAAAATTTTTTTGAAAAAAAAAAAAAAACAAATATCTACGCTAATTTTTTTATATAAAAAAAAAAACTATATATCAGTTAAAATTTTTTTAAGAAAAAAAAAAATTTCAGGCATACTCGAGCTTTTTTTCGAAAAAAAAAAAATGGGGTTTCTACACTGCATTTTTTTAAAAAAAAAAAAAAATACGCAGTCAAAGACTGTTTTTTTCTCAAAAAAAAAAAATAGACCAATGAAATGTGTTTTTTTTGTGAAAAAAAAAAGTACTCTGATAGAGTTAGTTTTTTTTTATAAAAAAAAAAGGTAGCTGTAAACTATGATTTTTTTGGCGAAAAAAAAAAAATAATAAATAGTAATGATTTTTTTATATAAAAAAAAAATTTAAAATGCTATAAAATTTTTTTTAAATAAAAAAAAAAATAATGTTTACCACTCATTTTTTTTAGAGAAAAAAAAAATAATTAAGTCAGTTTTTATTTTTTTTTAGAAAAAAAAAAATTTTAATAACATGCACATTTTTTTAACAAAAAAAAAAAAACTTAGCCAAACTTTACTTTTTTTACAGAAAAAAAAAATATGTTATTACATGGAATTTTTTTTAGAAAAAAAAAAAAGTATAAAAATTGCTATTGTTTTTTTAAAGAAAAAAAAAATGACATTGCATTAACTTGTTTTTTTTATTAAAAAAAAAAGCCAAAAATGATCATCTATTTTTTTAAGTAAAAAAAAAACATATGTTTATCGTC